CCCCTCCCCCCCCCCCCTCCCCCAAAGGGATGCCTCTTGGTAAAATTTGAGTCCTTGGTTACAGCGAGTGATTACCCAGTAATTAAGTGTGTGTGATTGCAGTTGTTTTTCTTGTTGTGTAGTGCTATACAGCCAACCTGCAGTTTGTGAATTTATTGCAGGCAGTCTCAGAGAATCTGTAGATGTTGCATAAAAATAAACTATACTATTCAGGAACCTGACTGCTTCTCTTGAATGCAACCGGCCCTACAGCACATGGGCTGTTCGTGCATCCAGTGCCAGGCCTATAGTCACAGCCCCAGTTGGCATACCTACCTATTAAGAGATAGGTCCAGCTGCCCCTAGCCCCTCTAATCTATGAGAACCAGCTAGAACACAAGGGGATTCATCTCTTACCAAATCGACTCATCACAATAAGGTATTTGTGGAATGGCTGGAAAACAACAGACCTATTATGAGCAATCCAGACCGAGTGGCCTCACTGTGACAACAGGCTGTAGCTGTTGTGAAGAACACCTGGAAGGCCAAGGGATTGAGAAACGTGCGTAGCAAAAAGATAAGGAAGATGGATTGTTGAAAACAGGATGTTTGCCCACCAGGAGAATGGCGTGTGGACACCACACGGGGACCAATCACAGAGGGCAAAAGGGTGCATGGACATGTGGCCTTAGCCTATCGGCAATCAAGCAGCTGTGCGTGTGCTTTGTGCGAGTCTTTAAATTGCTGTGTATCCTTTAATAAAGTGGCATTAACTCAATCACATTGGTTGTATAAGTTATGTCCGGGACTTCTGCATCAGCAGGAGACAAAGTCCTTCTTCACTACCCAGGGACTAACAAACTGGAACCTAGCTGGGACAGCGGTGTTTTCTTGTTGCCCTCCTCTGCTTTTAGCTCAGCATTCTCTAACCTAACACCACAGATGTCAACTCTGTCCTTCCCTTCTCCTCTGGCTTGCAAACTGTTGCCTACCTCTCAGTTTTCATGTTTGTTGTAATCCTGGAAGAGTCACTACTTCTGGCTTGGCTGTGTGGTTGGGAGGGCACACAGAATAGGGATGTATGCTCACAGGCACACAGGGTTGAAAACCACCATTGCAGGTTTTCATTCCAGGGGAAGAACAGATTTATAGTCCCTGAAGAATCAACAGCTTTGACCCTGTGATACTGTGTGTCTCTCTAAGACACTGCTGTGTACATGCACTCCACCATGGAGATGGTCTCATGCTCAAAAGCAAAGAGCTGGCGTTCTGTCTGCAGCATGTAAGCCTTTAACAGCTCACCCGAACACTGATCTCAAACCAATCCAGTGAGATTGCCAACACACATAACCCTTGAGCTGGAGCTCACAGGGCTCGGTCCTCATCAAGAGATCAGCCTCTGCACAGGATATCTCATAAAGCAGTCTGACAGGCAGATGAACCCACGTGCCTCTAGGGTAGCCTGTTTCTTTTCCATGGCAGTTCCCGCCCACCCCCAATTCATTACTTGCAACTCAGTTCCAAGAAAACAGCAGTGAACATCTGAATTAAAAAGACAGAGATTATGAATGAAAAATCACGTTTCCTTTCATGAGAGCTAACACAGTGTCTCAACCTGCTTACTGTTACTTGGCAAACAGCAGCAAATTTAGTTCTGCATATGTCCCCGCCATATGTGGGGACAAGACCACGAGAACTATTTCTTTTTAAATACAAACTCTCTTTTGGTTTTGGTTTTGTTCCTTTTCTGTAACTCATGTGTATCTTAGCAGGGCATGGTCACAAAACCACTAATCAACCAAATTTTGGTCTCAGTCAGTGCCAAAGCTCCTCTAGACTTTAAAAATGTGCTGCCTTTGCAGCCAGTAGCATTGAGATTTGAAAAGAGCTCCTTTGCTGAAAGAAAAGCTGTGGAGCCTTACCAACAGCAGGAGTGGCCAGATGCTTAACCCTCCCGCTTCAAGTAATTTTTAACCACAGCTGTGGCTGAGCTGGCTTCCCTCTACCAGGCTGCAGCCACTCTTGCAACTCTTCTGGCAGAAAGGGGAATTATTCTTCCTTCACCCAACAGGAGCCGCTCCTGAGGCCTCAGTGCCCACATCCACAGCACAAAGACAAACCTGCCTCTCACTCCCTGCCAATACATTCTCCTTCCTCCACTCAGTGGAGTTAGTGCAAAGAAAGCTTGCATTGACAAGATAATGAGAAGCAAGAAGTACGAGCCTGAAAAAATGTATCTCTGATGGGAGCATTTCAAAAGGTAGCCAGCTTCCAGAAGGCAAGAACTATTCTCCACCACATCAGTTATCTACAGAGATGCGAGAAACTGGTCGACAATGAGAAATTAGCTAATAAAAGCTCTGATTTAACTCATTAAGGTTTCTGTTATGGCTCCAGGTATGTGTAGTCCCCGTGAATGCTGAATTTTATTTATGCCTGCATAGCAACCACCTTTTGAGAGCACTGCTACAAGGCACAGAGCGACAGAAGAAATTGAAGGTGATTTTGCTCTGCAGCTCAAGAGAAGTGAGCCATTTTTACTGTCACAGTAGGCAAACCTCCACCTCCCTCAGAACTGAACCTCAGCCAGGGGGACCGCACCTCTACAACAGTATCATGGCCCTGGGCCTTCTCAGCACAGTAAATCTCTGCAGATCACTCTGCATTAGCATTACCATGTGGATTTCTGTCATCAAGGACTGAAGTAGGCAAGGGTGACATTTTATTTTGTCCCAGGTGTTTTCTCTAAAAAAAAAAAACCAAACCTCTCTAAAAATCTATATGGTTTCCCCTCCTCCAGCTTTTTTAATGAAAACCAGGTACACTTCTATAGAATTTCCCATTTTCCTCATTTTCACTGAGAGAAGAAAACACAGTGAGGTACTTCTGAGGTGAAACCCTCAATCAAACTTTTCCCCAGGTCCAGTTCTTGTAGGAATGACAATCAACAAGCCTGTACAACTGCTCTCACACAGGGAGGTAAGCCAAATAACCTTTACAGGCCATCTCTAGTAGCTTTGACATACATAGCTATGTAGTATTTCTAGTTTAGACCAGCTGTGTGATGAAGCCTTTCTCTAAAGCCTATAATTTATGTTTTAAAATCAATGGCCTTATCTTGACCAAAATCTGCTTGCAGCCAGCAAACAGATCCCACAGAGCAATGAAGAAAACTTTGAATGTCAAGACCATTTGGGCTGCTTGGACATACCAGTAGGCGGAGAAGATCCTCAGAAGATATGAGCTGGGTCCTCCTGGGTTTTGCCTCTCCTGGTAAAACATCAAGAGAAATCCTTACACTGGTTCCCCCTCACTTGTAAGCGCTGGGGCTGCATGACCTCTTTTGTATTGGGACTGACGGAGAAGCCAAGGGAGGAGCAGGAGAGAGCAATGTTTGTGCTGACGTCTCCAGACTCACTTTGCTCACCCTGCAGCATGGCCCCCCCCCGCCCCCCCCCCAGGAGGATGTCCATGCAGGAAGGGCTTCCCCTCATGGGTCAGAACATGTTCTGGCTTCCAGCCTCCAAAGGGTTTAAACTCAGCCAGTTAGTCCCAAGTTTGTTACAAGCTTGTCAAAAACTAGCCTGTCTCAGCCTCCCCTTTTCATACAGTAGCTTCAAACCACTCTATTGTGTTAATGACACACTGTACTTTCTGTGTTCCAAGTCATTAGTGCAGTCATGTGGGGAAGATAGCTGCTGTCAAATCAAGGCTGTTCACAATAACTAATGCAAAAGGAACATCATTTTACTTAATTTTTAGTAACCCAAATGCAAGCCTAAAGCTACCCATGATCAAATGTGTTAGCAGAGCTCACCAGTTTTCCTCTAATTAGTGCATGTGCCTAAGCTCAAAAGAAGACAAATGAATAAAACTCATGCCACAAATCAAAGGGTGCTCTACCCCAGCAAGGACTGGAGGGCAGACACTACAACCTACTCCCCATGGTTGCTGGTGGAGATCACCATCATTCTGAGCTCTGGGTCTGAAGCTGGCACGTGGCTTTGCGACTCCCACCTGCTCTTTTGCAGGATTTTCTGCCACATAACTAGGGCGCTAGAAGCAAATCCATACTTGCAAAGAGCTGTTACACAAATTCCCTGACTTGATTTGGTTGAAAGTACCTTTTCAATGTACTGGCTTTCACAGAGAAGTTGAGATGCTGAAGTGTTGTTCCTTCACCTAGAGTTGCTGTTAGCAGGGGTTTTCAAAACACTTGGCCTGAAATCCATCCACTGCTTAAGTTTCCAGAGTTAATAAATAAAAGTTTGGTTCAAAATGCAACTTGAATTTTCTGTGAAGAACTAAATTTTTAAAAAGCCCCACAACCCCAAATGTCAATTGATGTCTTCAGACTTCCAAACTAATTTATTCAGTTGCAACTTTCCTGAAAGGTAAAGCTTTCTTCCCTAATTAAATGATGTTCACATAGATCAGTATATTTGCCCTTATGTACAGCAAACAAATTTTAAACCTCTGCTCTAGCTGGGAGGGAAGGGATTAACGTAATATGAAATATGAAGCTCTTTGTATTACCTTTTTTCTTTCCCTCTCTC